CTATTCGTGGGCTGGTAGTACCAGATCTGCTTATATATACCTCTGAAGATCTTAGTGTTTCTATATCTATATATATATAAATATATATATATATATACATATATGTATACGTAGATAGCATACACACATACACAAAAACTCACCCACCATCACCCCTCCATCACTCTTATACTTCCTCTTCCCTTCTTGCTTTTCTATGCTCAGTCTAAGTCTAGAGAAGTTGGTAACATGTGGGGTTATCCGGTCCTATAATTTCAAGAACTTTTTCTCGAAAAAAAACGAAAAAAAACAAAAAGTTGAATACGCATGTCCGCACAGTCACCGCTAAGCACCGCTCAGACCAGATCTGCTAAGGGCTCACTTGCCTGTCCACTTGTGCAAGCTCTCTCGGTGTATTCTTGCCTGGCTTCTTCGACTGCAATCCTAGTTGCTGCGAAAAAAGAAAACGTCATTAGTAGCAACCTCTTTGCTCTCCAAATCTGGACCGCTCTCGCGGATAAAGCATTGTTTTGTTGGCAGAAACAACTCCAAGTTCCGAAACAAATCTTCACGGTGTTTCGCTCTTGGCGTGGACACCATGGCAACAGAAGCAGTTTCCCCCTTAATAGCTCGATCCAAACACAGACGCAACACAGTGCCTAGCAGGTAACTCTTGCCAGTATCAGCAGTGATGTTTATCAAAGTCTTCGGGGTAATCAGCATTTCTGCCAACGCATTGTGCTGCTCACTAGTTAAGCTGGGAAATCTAATTCACAAATTGAGATTGTTCAGATCTTTCTCTGGGAACCACTCTTCGATCATTGTAGTGCCTATGGGACAATCGAGCAATTCTAGCAGCGGCCCTTTCAGGGGCGCTTGGATTCTGTCGGTACTCTTTAATTGAAATTGTTGCTTCTCCACATTTCCTAGGAAAGCCACATGGAGAAGCGTCAAAGAAATTCACAGGAAAAGACAGTAGCTTCTCCATAGCAGCTTTCTACCCTACAGATGGACAATTAGATCCGACCGTCAGACAAATTTAAAGGAAGTAGCTTTGCAATTAGAATGACCTACTTCAGAAATGGAGAAGTGGATCCGATCGTCATAGAAATTTACAGGGAAAGTAGCTTTGCAAGAGCAAGTTTCTACCCTACAGGTGGACAAGTGGATCTGACCGTCATAGAAATTTACAGGGAAAGTAGCTTTGTAATTAGAATTACCTACTGTAGAAATGAAGGAGTGGTTCTGACAGTCATAGAATTTTACAGGAAAAGTAGCTTAGCAATAGCAACTTTCTACTCTACAGAAAGACAAATAGATCTGACCGTCACAGAAATTTACAGGGAAACTAGCGTTGTAATTAGAATGACCCACTTCAGACATGGAGAGGTGGATCTGATCGTCAAAGAAATCTACAGAGAAAATAGCTTCGCAATAGCAACTTTCTACTTACACTGAAAATTGTCCTCGGGTCTACCCCGCAACGGACTATCAGGCAGGTATCATTGGGCTCCTAAATTGCAAGGTCTCCAAATCAATCCAATCCAATCCAAGACGATTGATCCAACGAAGTATCTACTATATCCTTTGTCTATCTATATCTACCAGTAGTGCCGCAAAAGGCGGTGGCGGAAGTTTCAATGATAGGACACTGTAGGAGAGGTGAGTTGTTGTGATCAATGGATGGCAGAGCGAACCCACTGATGGACCGGAAGGTGGTTGGAGTTGTGCTTTTTGGAGTGGTTGCAATGGCTGTAGCGGTCACCTCTGCTGGATGTAGTGTGTAGCGCAGCTGTAGTTGTAGTGTAGCGTAATGGAGCTGTAGTTGTAGTGCAGTGCAATAAGTGTAGCGTAGTTGCAATTGTAGTTGTGGTGTTGTTAAATTAGTGTAGTGCAATGTAGTGTGGTGTAGTGTAGTGTAGTGTAGCGTAGCGTAGTGTAGTGGTGTGGTGTAGTGTAGTGTAGTGTTGTGTTGTGTACTGTAGTGTGGTATAGTATAGCGTAGTCTAGCGTAGTGTAAAGTAGTGTAGTTGCAGGTGTAGTTGTAGTGTAGTTGTAGTTGTAGTGTGGTGCAAGCAGTGTAGTGTAGTGTGGTGTAGTGTAGTGTAGTGTAGTGTAATGTAGTGCAGTTGCATTTGCAGTTGCAGTTGCAGTTGCAGTTGCAGTTGTAGCGTAATGTAATGTAATGTACTGTACTGTAATTAGCGTATATCAATTAGTGTACTGTAGTGTATATTGGTGTACTGTAGTGTAGTGTTGTGTAATGTAGTGTAGTTGTAGTTGCATTTGCAGTTGTACTTGTAGTGTGCTGTAAGGTAATTTAGTGTAGTGTAATGTGGTGTAGTTGTAATTGTAGTAGTAGCTGTGGTTGTAGTAGTAGCTGTAGTTGTAGTTGTAGTGTAATTAGCGTAGTGTAGTGTAATTAGCGCAGTGTAATGGAATTAGTGTATAGTGTAATGTAGCGTAATATATTTGTAGTTGTGGTTGTAGTTGTAGTAGTAGTGTAACGTAGTGGTAGCAGTGGTTGTTGCAGTTGTAATTGTAGTTGTGGTTGTAGTTGTCTATCTTTCTGCCTATCTGCAAGCTTGAAAACGAAGCTATTCTGCGAGACCTGCTCAATTTTCGAAGTTGAGAGCGTCAAAAATGCAGCAATTCTGCGAGATTTCCTCAATGTTTTAACTTGACAAAGTCAAAAATTCGAAGGTGGCAACATCAAAAACGAAGCAGTTCTGCGAGACGTCCTTCAAAAATGGAAAGTTGACTGCAGGGCTGACGGCCTCGTACCAATTCTTTTTCCACTCCACCTGTCTAAAGAAATTCGCCTGCCACGAAAAAGTGATGCCAAGTCATACGAAGTGCTGCACCTGTCACGCAAAATCATCTTAGCAAACCTGACGGTCTGATGCTCCAAAATGACACCCCTCTCAGGAAATATCAGGAAATCTCTGCCCTGACCTTCGAACATCTCTGATGAACATGTCTCTTGTATTGCGCCTGCCACGCAAAATGCATCTGTACGGATCCTCTTCAAATTAATGTTCCACACCTGCCATCGTTTTTGGAAATGCTACAAATCCCTCACGTTTTGCTCACTTTTGACCAGGTGCACAATCCCTTGCGCCTGCGACGCGAAACGACATCGATTTTTTGGCACTTTTGGCTTGGAAATGTGCTTCGCGCCACAACGGCGTGCACTTTTTCGACATGTCAACTTCCAAAAAGTTGTCTGAGAATGGTGTGCCTTGTGCATTTTGACTTGGAAATGTGCTTCGCGCCACAACGACGTGCACTTTTTCGACATCTCAACTTCCAAAAGTGCTCCGAACCTGGTGTGCTGTGTGCTTTGTACATTTTGACTTCGACATGTGCTTCGCGCCACAACGGCGTGCAATTTTTCATCTCTCATCTGGCCAGCTGGCTCCGCACCCGCCGCTTTAGCGAGCCTACTTTTCGACCCTCCGCCGCAAATTGTTGGAAAAACACAGTGTTTCGCGACTTTCCTACCTTTTCGCGCACCTGGATCTTCTTTCTTCTGACTCTTTCTCTTATCTGATCTTCTTTTTTCTTCTCTTCTCTTCTCTGACTCTTCCCACCTCTGCTTTTCACTCTGTCTATATTGTCGGAAGTTTGACTTCTAAAACTTCCTTCGAATAGAATCTACAGTAAATGACGAATGTTTCAACATGTTTCAGCCCTTTTTTAAGATGTTTTAGATGTTTAGTTTGCAGATGCCACAAATGCCAGTCCTGACCAGCTCGGTAGTGGCTCGGCTCCCCCTGCACAAGCAAATTCCTGCTCCGCGGCTGGTTGAAGTTCCAAACACTTGTTATATTGTATTATTCTATATTATTCTAGTATCGGTTACTATCGATTACAATGTTTATACTGCAAGTACATTATACTGCTTTATACTAAATTTATACAATGTTATACTACCTGGTTTATTGATGTTTATTGGGCTTATATATTGATTCAGATTCCCATCGCCGCGCCTGACCAGGGTTCCGTCCCCGCATCCTTTGGCGAAGGCCTCCTGGGAAGTTTCGATCAGACAGCTTGCTGCTGAAATCACCAAGGAATGATAACAAATGGATGGCTTTATTTGGCTTTATTGATGTTTATTGATGTTTACTGATGTTTATTGATGTTTATTGATGTTTTTTGATGTTTATTGATGTTTTTGAGATGTTTATTGAGATGTTTATTGAGATGTTTATTGAGATGTTTATTGAGATGTTTATTGAGATGTTTATTGAGATGTTTATTGAGATGTTTATTGAGATGTTTATTGAGATGTTTATTGAGATGTTTATTGAGATGTTTATTGATGTTTATTGATGTTTATTGATGTTTATTGATGTTTATTGATGCTTATTGATGTTTATTGATGCTTATTGATGTTTATTGATGTTTATTGATGTTTATTGATGTTTATTGATGTTTATTGATGTTTATTGATGTTTATTGATGTGTATTGATGTTTATTGGTTTCTTAATATCATAATGATACCAAACAATTGATATTATTCATTGATGACAAATGGATCGAGACATAATCATAAATAATGAATAATATGAATCATACATGCATGGTAGTTGAATCCATGATTATCAATGTTATCATATAAACATGGCGTAAAAAACCCACTGGCAAATGTCAATTGAATGCAATGGACAATAATTGAATGATTACAGTAAATGATAATGAAAGATTGTCATGAATGGATGATAACGTGTGAAAATGGATCATGATGGTACTTGACAAGAGGTCATCTTGGATTCTGGATATCTGAAATGAATTGTGGATATTAATACAATATCCACTGGGGATCAGATGTTAGATGCAAAGAGATCGTAGCGGATTACTGACTATCTATGACATTCTATGACTATCTAAAATAGTCAGTACAGTCATATACTGTCACAATATAATGGTTGGGATTCCCAGTTCATGCTGCTTAATTGATAGGGGAATGCTTGTTGGTGTTTAAAACATAATTTCCTTGCACTGTTGAAACAGAAAGAAACATGCCACATGTCTTTTCATCATTCAATGGGAACGCGGCAACAAGAAAAGATTCTTGGCGTTTTTGGGTATTTGGGTGGTGTGACCACTTGGAATTGTGGCAACATAACCTAGCTTGCCTGAGAGGAGGTGCAGCCTGGGCAGAAGCTGGTTTTGCCCTTCTTGTCACTCTAAAACGACTCTAAAATATCACGAGTTTCCCACATGATGCATGCGACTTTGAGTGGCATGGAAGTTGAAGTTGGCAAATTTTTGTTGGGTATAAATACCCCTTATTAACCATGATTAACCATTACTCACCACTGGCCATGGGCAAATTCCATCATCAAAAAACGGCACCTCCTGCGACCCCGTGGCGGCGCCTGAATCCCCTGCTGTCCACAGGTGATAAAGATCACCCCCTGCCCTGCGAAGCGAGCATCCGCTTCTGACCTTGGCATCTGGTGTCCATCTGAGGTCCCAAGGTATCAATGGGGATTGAACCAGCAAAACTATGGGAAATGACATGAAATTACGGGGAAAATTAGTGGATGCTACCCCAGGGTCCAGTCCAATTTTCGTTCAATCGCCATGCTGGTTGCTTTAATCCCCCAAATCACCACCAGCCCTGTCAATGTTTCACCAAAAACCTCTGAGGACCCAAGCGCTAGAGCCTGAACCGATGTGTTTCTGATCAGAGTCATGTGATATGGGTTTGTCTGAAAATGGGGTACTGTACCCTCAGTAAACGATCATTTTGATAAGGAAAATGAAGATTAACCAGTAGGTTTAGAGTTTAGGGGTATCCAATGTTCAGACACATCCATATTTTTGTTCAAAGAATATCCAGGGTATACCGTCTCCCGAGCAAACACATAGACCCTGAAACACCCGAGTTCGCAGGGTCTATCTTAGTTGGAGAGGGAATAGATTTTTGAATATCCCGTCCTGACTCTCAAATTCCCCACAGGGGTTGAATCGCTGGTGAACCACGAAGTCTCTCATGGCTAACCTTCGAAAAAATGTGAAATTCTGAGTTACGTCTGATATATCCATAAGTCGATGAGAAAAGGCTCAAAATTTACCCTTTCATCTCCAATTCTTCAATGCTTTTCGACCCAGTTGGGTGAGCCGCATCTTTTCTCGGCTTTCCCCCTAGCCTTGACAAGGTCTGCAGACTCAGTGTTCAAGAAAGCGGTGCCACCCAGGATGCAAACTCTTAGCCTGGGAACTGATGGGTGAACCTGGTGTTTGGCAGGAAACCACTCATGAAATTTGGGATTTTGGGAACAAAAAGATAAAGCTGAAGGATATAATGATGTATGTATGTATGTATGTATGTAGGTAGGTAGGTAGGTAGGTAGGTATGTATGTATGTATGTAATTCTGTAATTCTGTAATGTATGTATGCAATGTATGCAATGTATGCAATGTATGCAATGTATGCAATGTATGCAATGTATGCAATGTATGCAATGTATGCAATGTATGCAATGTATGCAATGTATGCAATGTATGCAATGTATGCAATGTATGCAATGTTTGCAATGTATGCAATGTATGCAATGTATGCAATGTATGCAATGTATGCAATGTATGCAATGTATGTAATGTATGTAATGTATGTAATGTATGTAATGTATGTAATGTATGTGATGTATGTAATGTATGTAATGTATGTAATGTAATGTATGGTATGGTATGGTATGCATGCATGTAATGTATGTTATGTATGTTATGTTATGTTATGTTATGTTATGTTATGTTATGTATGCATGTACAATTGTATATATATATATAATTATATATATATATGATTATATATATGTGATTATATAATTATATATATATATGTTGAGTTGAATGATTTAATATATATATATATAATATATATATATATATTATGTATATATATATATGATAGTATATGATATTGTGTACGAGAATACCTGACAGATACAAAACTGAATGTAAGGCTTGGCATGCTCAACAGACTCGAAATCGCCCAAATCGACCATGTCATATGTCGCAACCTTGTGCAAATGTCCAAGCCCGGAGTTGAAGTAGGGTCATCCAAACATTCAAAAAAATCACGACAGTTTGCTGTGGCATTGTCTGAAAATAGGCTATCCGGCTAGCCCATAATTGATGGTTTGATCGATGATTGATCAATCTTAATCTTGATCATCATGACTCATGACCCTGAAATTATTTCTGAAAACATGGCTATTTCACTTCCGGCCTGGCAGCCAGCCGTGTACTCAAGTCATTTCGATCGCCTCGAAATGTTCGTGGCCCCTGCTGAGTTCCCAATGGGGATGGGATCCCAAGATCCCACCGGATGGCCAGATGGGTTGGATTTTTTGGGGGATTTAACGATTTTTTTGGACCCAAAATTTGGGTAATGAATTCTGATGAATCCCCATATATCATCATATATCATCATAGATCATCATGTATCATCATATATCATCATATATCATCATGTATCATCATATATCCATATCTTGAGGGATTCCTATGCGGATTCAGCTTGTTTGCCCAGAAAGCCGCGAGGCCTTGAATGGACATGGCGCCAAAGGTTCTGCAGAAAGGTCTAAGTCTACAGCTAGTGGTTGTTCTGTTGGTCCTATGGCTAGATCTGGAAGCTACCTCATGATGAGATTGAAAGCGCTATCTGAAACGCACGGAACGCAGGCTGTAGCCAGAACTACAAGTACGGCCACAATTTGTATCATACTGCGTCTCTGCATGGAGCTGCATGTCATGTTGGTGTGAGCGTGGCTGAGCCTTGAGAACAAGCTCATGTCTGTTTTTCAAGCTGCATCGACCTCAAAAAATGTGGGAATGGATCAAAACCCCGCTATACCCTGGTTTCACATCAAAATTATTGTTTATGGATCTGCATCCCTGGGAAAATCCTACGTTTTGAGCCGCAAGGCTCAGCACCAAGTGTGGCCCGGTTGAAGCATCACAGCAACTGCCCGTTCTTCAATGTTCGTCATTTGTAGTAGACCCTCCAAATTGAAGATCAAACAAATATCAAAACCAGATACCCTCTGGTTATTTAACATAGCCATGGAAAATGGCCCATTTATAGATGGTTTACCTATTAAAAATGGGGATTTTCCATGGCTATGTTAGTTTACCAGAGGGTAATCATTGAAGCGTCTTTTCGTGCTTGAATCCACACTTTTGTTTGAAAGACTCGAAAGGCAACCTCTGCTGAGACGCCGCAGTATTCTGAGAGCACGGCAACTGAAGTGAGCAAACGATCAGCTTGGCTCCGTCCTCAATACCAGCATTCTGGTAACCATCAGTGCACTCATGCATCATTCAGGACCTAAGAACCTATAGCAGCTATAGCAGTCATGCAGTCATGCTCAATTGTTTGTGCGCATCAGATATTGACCTATCCGGCCACTGAGCAAAGAATCGTAAGCCCAAGGCACCATCACATCGGGTTTCATTTCGCCACCAGCCACTGAAAGTTCGGGGCCCCAAGGAACTGTTTCATTTGGAACTGAAAATAGGGGATGGTCTCAAAATTATGGCCATTTCAATGGGGGAAACATTAAAAAAATACAATCAACCATGGACCATGGGCAATGGTAATAAATAAATGTCTGTGTGGGATTTTTTTTGGTTCAAAGTTCACATTCCCAGCATTCTGCTTCGAGCAGCCATGGGGTACATGGGAAAGAAGACATTGAAGAGAAACAGCATGACCTCGGCAGCCGTCTCGATTCGCATGACAGTTGATCAAATAGGCACAGCATGGCACAGCTTAAGCTCCCGGTATCAGCTGCCTTCTCTTTCAGTCATCATCTAGTAATATCTGAAACTGCAGATGAAAGCTTCGGTAGTAGAAACAAAAAACATCAAAAACATACCAATGTTTACCAATGTTTACCAACCATCTTGTTGACAACTGACCAACCATTGGGACCATATGATCCATGACAACATGCTATTGAGGCCCCTTGACAGTACAGTACAGCTAAAGTCACAAAAAATCGCACAAACCTCAGAAGTTATTTCAGTTATTTCACCAACAGGCTAGTCCAAACACAGCATGGGCTTGTCCAAAAATCGCGTCTGACCTACAGGTTTTTGCAATTTGAATAGGAAAAATGGGTGTTTCGAAGCGCCGGACTTGAGGTTTTCCCAGCACTTCAGGATCAACAACCTATGTTAGGAAGGGAACTCTCCGAGTTTCCACACATTCAGTTGAATCGCCCGGCTGAGAAACGTATACCTCTGCACTGAGGCAACGTCATAAATTGTGCACTTCCTGTCTGGTTGATTCTGGTTGGTGGTTTTGATGTGTATCAATTTCCGTGTCCCCTTTGTTGGATGGAAAAAAACTTTTGAAAGCACCAGCCAGATATGCCATGCATCGTAAATATCCCATGGATCACGGGTGTATCAGACCAATTTCAATCATGTTCCAGTTTCTGCCTGTAGAGCAAAGCTACAAGTAGTGCAGTAGACCATCAAACTTGTGGAGTACTAGACTTTGCCTCTTTTTGTGGCAACCCAGTTGTCTTTCAAATCAACCATGTTGCCCTTTACATTCCTTTCATATATGTTTTTGAGATATTTTGAGCAACTTCAGCTTTTACCCAATCCATATTCATAGTTCATAGTCAGAACCCGGTATCACACACTGCCTACGGTGAAACCAATTCAAACCTGCAGCCGAAGGCACGTTAGGAAGCCAGCATAACTGTGGAAACACCTCGGTGCGGAACACACATCGTTTTGACACTGCAACAAATGTAGCTTGGGAGTGAAAATGGCAGACCCTATGTGCATTTATTTCTCATCCAAGGGATGAACATCATTGAACATCCAGAAAAACCATGGGAAAACATGGGAAAAACATGAGATCTCTGACTTTTTCAGCTTCCCTCCACCTCGCCCAGCGTGCACCGGTTCACATGTTTTTTTTACATCCAAGTCTCAGCGGCTTGAAAGCAATTTAAGAGAAACTCGTGGCAGGCTGCAGAGCCAATAAGAGCCAATAGCCGTGTGGGACAGTGGCTCAGAACATCTTAGAACAGCTTTAGATGTTCTTAGAACATTCAGATTTCTTGATCGCTTCACTTCCAAATGTTCTCCCGGAAGATGCCAGTGCATCCACTTAAAACAGGCGCACGGATTGCGGTCGATGGTCAGCTTCGCAGACCTTAGCAGGTTGAATGCTGAGCTTGGAAAGTTGCAGGAAAAAGGTTGGACATGAATTGATTGTCAGCACAAGGCCATCTGATCAAGAGACAGTTGATCGACAAAATGTATCCCGCTGTCGATATATTATGTATCTACTAAGAGGAGCCAGTAAATCCTGCACACGGTTCCAGTTCGGGCCAGAGATGTTCGGAGCACGTTGGGATACGCTTCAAATCTAGCCATTTAAGCGACAGTTACCGAGAACAAAGGATACAGACTTGGCTGCTCATCACTAAACCACAGGGTGAACAAAATCGTAAGGTGTGTTGCCGATTCCTGCAATCCACTCCAATTTCATTGGATGGGTTCAAGGCAAAGACTAGCCCAGCTTTGCAACCCAACCAGGAAAGGTTCTAGGAATCCGTTCCAGTTTTGGGGCTGGGCAACCAAAGAATGCACCACTTCAAGAGCCAGAGATTGAGACCCAAGAGGCACTACTGTTGGGGATGTTCATGACCCCCCAAACTTTTTTATATGAAAAATTATGAAAACCATGGTACAACATTGTACAACCATGTACAGCCATGGTTTCCTCCAATGATCCCATGAGTTTCCCAATTCCGACATCCCAATACTTGGAGGATCATCCCTAACTGCTGGGGTCTTCATTAGCTATACCCCCACTTAAATTCCACTGCCAGGGATACGAAATGATACGAACCATTTACCGGACTTACCGCGAACTGGGATGATCCAGCCATCTGGTCCCTCATCCCAGCTGTGCCGCTGGCTCCGCTACTTCGGTGCATCACAGGCCGCCGCGCCGCAGGAACACGGCAGCAGCCGGTCCGGTGCCTTCGTGGCGCGGGAGCGCAGCGCGCCGCAGTCGCAGACCACGTCGGGAAGGTCACCTGGGAGAGATCCGAAACGGATCGAAACGGGATGAGAAATTGGGAATTGAACCAGATTTGTTCATGGATTTCAATGGATTTCAATGGATTTCAATGGATTTCAATGGATTTCGATGGATTTCAATGGGTTGAACCAGTTTCATTGGGGATTGAACATGATTTAACAAGTTGTTGATCGTTTATTTTAGCCAAGCAGTGGCCAGTTTAAAATTTCAATGGAAGAGGTTAACATATTCAGCTACCAACACTCTACCAACTATCAATGTTAACCACTGAATGGGCGATTTGGCCAGAATTCATGATTTGACTACACTTGATTATTCGATGATTCAAACGGGTAAGGGTTGTTTAATTCTTAATCACCAATGGTTAAAGGGGGAATGAACCAGATTCAACCATCAACTGACGGCATTGTTTAATGGGAATTTTCGGAACATGATATATAGGTATATATGTGGAATATGCAGACTTGGGATGTTTATGTGGCACCAACGGACTTCTTGATCCCAACAAATCCCAACATACACCTGTTCAATCCTCATGGATGTGAATCATCATGTGAGCCCCTGGCCTTTCGCAGGGCTGGGTGGTCCTTTGGAGCGTTCCTTCTTCTGCGGAACCCAGTTCTGCTTCCCAGGGGGACATAGACAGCCAGTGCTGGAATGGTAGGGGTCCTTTCCTGGCGTTGACGTAGGAGGTGGTGGTTACAGAAACAAATAAGAATAGAAATGTGGTAGAAACCCAACAATAGACCATCCAAAGTTCTATCGGAAATGAGTGGGAGTGAACATCTTCCCCAAATTATTGAGTTTACGACATTCACTTTTTTGGAAGGATGGCACTGCGTCTTTTGGTTTGTTTTCGCTTTGCCCTGCATAGACATACTGCACCCTCTGGTGCAGGTTGGTTCTCCGCCTACAAACCTGAGAACTGCTGTACATGCTCACACTCAAAAGCACGTATCCTTCAAGCCTTACATCAAGCCTTAAAGTCAAATTGAAACAAGTGGGTTCTCCACTTTGATTGGCCATCAGTTGGGGTAAATCGGACCCATTTTGGGCATCAAGTGGACCCAACCAGCCAAAAGGCCGCAACCAGTGCAGATCAAGTCTTCGTCTCCAGGCCCCATCATCATCTTGCTCAGCAATTAGATTCCCTTCGGGCGATCTTGAGCTTCAAACTCTGCGGTTGGTCCAAAATCCCGGGAATTGCGCTTCCAATTAAGTTTGTCTGTCAGAAAAGAGTTTGAAAGTCAGTTGAAGAAAGTTCCAAACACTATGCTTGCAGATTAGAAGGCCAGAAGATTCCAAGGGCTAGTCACTAACGAAGCAAGTCCTTAAGTTAGTCCTTAAGTTAGTCCTTTTGGAAACTCGTGCTCATTTACAGAGTGCAATTCCAAGCTCGGTTTCCCCACCCTGGCCAGTGTGGATCCACACAGGGCGAGCCAACCGAGCTAAACGGCACTGCACGGGGCTGTGGATGCTGCAGGGGGACAGGATGCTGTGGTTTTCCCAAATTTCTGGTGCAGATCAGCCGCAAACCTTTCAGTTGTGGGACTTGATGGGACTTCTACCGCTGCTTTGCCACCAGCAATTTATTAGCATCTTGAGGAAATCCCATCATAAACCCTAGTTTTGCCATTTGGGACCAAGATAAACCATATCCAATGGTCAATCTATTTTCACGTGCACCACAGCAACCACCATGTGGTCACCATTTGCAAAGATGACCGGGACCTTCTGAGAATGGACATCACCATCCCTGGCATCGATGGTGTTACCCTGAAGCGCACCTAGATACTTCCACGCAGACGGTGTCACAACATGACTGCAAGCAGCTGCATACGCCGCCTGAGACGCGCCAAGCCAAATTTGTTGAGTTTGGGAAGTGACACAGGACGGGGTCATGGTGTTGGTTGCAACTGAAACATTTTACTACATTTTACTTGTTTTACCCCATCTAAACAAATCTGTTCAAAGCCGTTTTCAGACATTGTTTATTTTGAAGGGCTATATGTCGCGTCTTCCAAGGGTGCAGCTGTCAGTTTGGTTCGGAAACTCTAACTTGCAACTTACAGCCGAGTCATAGAATTGTTGGACCAACACAAATGCTCGAAGCCAATTCAAGTTGATGCCAATGCCGATGTTGTGATTTGCCACGACGAAACCCTAAAGCAAGAATTGGCATGCAGACAGAGAGACCTGTGTGTTTGTGTTTGTGTATTTTAGTTGCAGATACAACCGTTATCAACCATACAAATGGTCTTTTCTCTGCCGTGGGAAAATTATGAGTCCACATCCCCATCTCGCCCCGATCGCATCGTGCTGAGCTGTGTATCCCCACGAGGAGCGCCACCCAAGCACCAGACATTGGGAAGTGGGTAGCAGGTCCCTGCGACAAAATGATCTCCCAGCGGCAAGGGATCGCTTAGGGAAAAATTGGTCTGCATTGGCATGAAGACTAGTTTAGCCCACTTTCCTACACATATCAGATCAAAGAGCATCTCTCTGCCGTGGAGATCCGTTCACACATCAGACACCCATCCTCCTGAAAGCTGACAAGTGGAAGGGGTGCTCAACGATCCCACACTCAGGGCTATGAACATCCATTTACCCACTACCAGCTAGTTCGTCCACCAGGGCACTGAGGTTTCACCAATACCCATGTGGGGTTGGCTCAGAATGTTCCTCCTCAAAATACTGCAACATACTGTAACTATCCCATCAAAAAAGATTGGAAGCAAATCCCCCATGTCAAGACAATTCCAAATGCTGGTTTTTATATGTTGTTGCATGATTTTCTGGTAAAATCATGTAAAATCCCATGGTTAGCTAAAATCCCTACATCCACCACACCCTCCCTCTGAAGCCCCAGACTGCCGCCACGATGTACAAGTCGTCCACGAGTTTTTCTCGGGGGCTGCGCCCTGAGGGTCTCGTAGTGAAGCAAATGCCACCGAAGGGCCATAGCAATACCTGGCTCACCCCACAGCCAAAAATGTGAGAGCGTCAGGCTTTCCGGAAAGGACTAATTCTGGTACCCCAAGAGCCATGTTACTTTGGTAGGCAAAATAGAACTGGCGGGTGAGTGTTAAAGATTATCATATTGTATTCCATATCTTCCAGCACGAACACTTAATTTTCTTCATGCACAAACAACTTCCTCATAGGAGCATCCGACTCTCAGCAGACAATGCAACAGCAAACGAACATTCCTGTTGCGGGGAGTGGATGAGTCTGCCACAAGTCACTGCACGTTTCCGCCAGTACACGCCGCGTTACACACCCCAAATTTAACATGGAACTCCGAAAAATGGGATCTGGAAGACGATTTCCTATTGGGTTTGGCCATTTGGGGGTCCATGTTAATATTGAATTTCGGGAGTGTGTCCCAATCAGCTGTGAGTGGATTATTCATAAACAGGAGAACAAGACCGCCGTTGGAGGGCTGAATCTCACGCGGGATCGATTTCCCCGATTCCCCATGGTTGCGTGTATCCAAACAATTGCCCACAGTCTCCAAAAAATCATCAGAATACTGTCAGAATACTTTACACCTACCCTCTGGTAATTTAACATAGCTATTGAAAATGACCATTTATAGTGGATTTTCCCATCAAAAATGGTGATTTTCCATAGTTATGTTAAATTACCAGAGGGTAGGTGATTCACTATCTGCCGGCAAAAAACACGAAGGGAACGGGAAAAAAAGGCTGCGAAGCGGCCTCGGCAATTGTGCCGCCACAGCGCCGCGCCATGGTTCCATGACCTCGAAGAGTAGCTGTATCGGATGGTGGAGAGGATGGGCAGCATCCCACAGCACTCCACTGAATGAAATAAAAAGGACAACATTGAAAATGGACAGTTCCAAAAATGGATCGCCCAAAAAGTCCAAAGCATCTTTGTTGGTCTATGATTGGTGTTCCACTTGGTACTCTGCTGCTGAGGATTGCAACCGTTGCTCGTGAAAAATTATTGGAATGTGCCAATGAGTTTTGAAGAAAGATGAAAAAGCATATCCTCAAATCTCTGATCTTAATTATACAGTTCTATAATGATATATCATGTATCATCAGGTCTCATCAGGTCTCATCAGGTATCATCCAAGTGACCCATCTCGTGGCAAAGCACCGTCCCCAAGAGAAGGAGCTCATTGCCCGTTACCAGGGTGACACGCACCTGGCACAAGGATTTCAGCTTGATCAACTGGTTGATATCAATCTATCAGTTGTTTTTGTTGATGCATGTTGATGCCTTGGAGCCATTGTCCAAAAAAAATGGAAATGTCACCTGGATGGGTTGGAACGGTTAGTCTCTGAATCAAAAAGGGAAATTATGGACTTAATTGTATAATATTGTATAAGGATTTGTGTGTTGAAAGGGTCAGGAGTAGTCAGCATGAGAATGGACTGTGGACTGCAAGTATACATTGGACCATATTGGACCTGAGGAAATCGTCACCTGAAAATGGGACCTCGAAAAGGGGCTTAACAAATCACACAATCTGTTGGCAAGACATCGTTTTATTTGATGAATTTGATCCCACAGAATCCGCTGATCTCACCATCCACCAGCCCCGACCGTAACCCAGCCGTATCCCATCCGACCCATAGCGGCAGCTGATGCTCATTGACAGCATCCACAAGTTGTTTGATGAAGAAAATCACCAGGAACCTGGCACAGGTTCCAAGACAGGCGCCACAAGGAGCCACAAAGCGTCTGGAAAAAAGGACGCAAGAGAAAGCGCATAGAACATTATATTATGATATATTATGTATCTGTATAATAGAGAGACACATCTAATCTAATCTATATATTTGTATGTATATAGATCTGTGATGATCTGTGTGTGTACCCTATGTCCATTGAATTCTCCGATACTTCGATTTTTGTTCTCAGCAAAGTGGACAGGCTCACAGGCCCCTCGAGCCGACCACGGCTCGGAACATATCGAATTCACTCGCAAAGCCGTGCGCCCCTCCGGGGTCCCTCTCTGGAACGTAGAACCAAGTGATTCATAGTGATTCATAGTGATTCCAGAATGTGTAAAGGAATCTATGCAAATGCTACAGCCGGCCAACATTGCCAGGAGATGCTACGACCAACTCAGCCAACCACAGCCCCTTCTGCGCACCAGCTCACTCTCAAGGGTGCACCAGCAATGGACCCAGCAGCAAAGGCGCAGTCCTGGGAAAGTAGAAATTGCAGTGGAGTGGAGTTCAAAGATATCTAGACACCTTCATTAGGCCCTTCATTGTCCTTCATGAATTTCAACTGCATACCGGGTGGCATCCAAGCGGTATGTTGCGATTTCGCAGCTCTGGAATCTTCACAATTCCATCCTTTCTCTTCATTGATTTACACTTTTTACACTTTCTCTTCCACTTTCAGGACTAATCTCCCTATCTGAATGGGGCGATCACGGGGAGACACACACCACCTGGTCTCATGGGAGTCATTGGTAAAACGCAAGCGGCTTCGTGACCGATGCTGCAAACTTCCAACAACTCAGCCACTGCAAACAACTCATGGCGCACCTTTGACTGTTGAGCACCGGTGCCCCCAAGTCCAATCATGGCGAGATGGTTGCTGTGATGGAAAGACTTTGGAAGTTTCGGTTGATGTCAGTTACATCATGTTACATCCTATCACCACTATCACCTATGTACATGGTCGAGGTGTCAATTATCCTGGTTTGCCAGAGGCTGATTGCAAAAACTATGTGTGATTCTTCAAGCCATGTGCTCGAGCCAACATTGGCACGGAAGCTGTTTTCACCCTACGATCCAGGGCACTCTCATTGGTTGCCAATCAAACTGTGACACAGGTAGGTCTCAAGCAGGGGAGTAGCTTCCAAAATACGTCACCCACAACCCACCCTCCAAATACTTCTGAAATTACTCTGCCACTGCAGACAGACTGTCTGGAAGGATAGTTCTTATTCGTTCTTGCCAATTCAATCAGCATCTCAAGAGAACATTAAGATATCATAAGATATCCTACTAAATATCCTACTGTCTTATCAAATAAGCAACGACCTGAGAGCATTTCATTTCATGTGTTCCCAGTTGAATTGGATCCAGAAAACCAGTCTGGCACCTTCACCGCAGGGTTTTTCACCATTTCCTCTTCAAAATGGCCATTAAAGGTGGGTATCCCCCCTTTCAGACACACCCACCTAATCAGTATCCATGATATCGCGCTATTTGCTAGCAATTTGGGCTGTGAAGATGTGCGAAAACAAGGGTGCCGTCAAGTGCCGTTGGGTTTTGACCTATACTCCTGGACTACGCGGCCTGCTGAGTGGGCTCTACCAATCCCTTCTTGGGGATGGCGATGGTAAGAAAAATACTCGAAAATGTCAACCATGCCTTAGAATTCTGCCTTGATGGCCACTTGAGCTACTTCTGTACTCCTCTTCTATCACTACAAACTTCGAATGTCCTTGGAAGCCGTGGCTTGTCTGATCCACTAAGATGCGTCATAGTCTTTTTCGCTCGCTTCAAATCTGTGAAACGCCTGAGCAAAGCTTGAGGAGCCAAAAGCGGATCACATTTCACGTGCTGAGTGCTTGATGTTGGCGGATCAGCAGCATGATGTTTCTGCAGTTAACCTTTGCAAATGAGGTTTGGAAGAATCAGAAGTCCAACATCCAGCATCTCGCATTTCGCATTTAGCATCTGAGAAACTCCAAATGAAACATCTGGCATCTTGGGCCGCATCGAATTCCATTGAGCTTAGAGGGTCAACTCATTCCTTCACCGTCACCTGACAAGCTGTGGGATTAATGACGAGGCCAGCGACTGCTCTCTTCAGTGGTTCTCTTGACGTGGCTATGTGGTGATGTCACGTCATTTGAACATCGTTGCCACCCTAAAAAAAATCGTTGGGTCATTGGGGACCATCCCAAATATGGTTTGATTTTTCCAAAGAACTAATGGAAACCACCAACCAGACTTCATCTCAGCAATCAATGCCTGTGCCCGACCGCGATTCATCATGGTGAATTGATGTGAATTGTGCGTCTGCACCTATGGCTTCGACAAAAAAAACACAAGAAACATTTGTTCGAAACCTCATCTTCCCCATCTTTGTTCGAAATGCCTTGTTCAGGACAACCCCTTTGAGGTGTTGACGGAACTGCTGGCTAAGTGGCAGTGGTCGGAGGCTCCTGCCGCTGAACAGTTTGAATCGGATCAACGGCAGCCTCGGATGGGGCACGTCCCACACGTGTTGCATGTCTGAAATGATGTAGCTATGGGATGCTATGGGTGACCCAAGCAGACTTAGGGAGATGCAGGATGACTATGGATGACTTAGGGCTGACTGGAGATAGAGTATGATAGAGTCAACTGACATCCACGGATGCTTTGGCTATTGCTATGCAGCATGGACTTCATGCACCCATTCTATCTCCGCCAATCTGAGCAGCACCGCAGGAGCAGGGCGGGGCACTGGCATAGGCCTCGCCAAAACGCCGCGGAGGAGTCGGAGTCCAGTCTCCACAACCCGAAAGCATCCGAAAGCAATGGAAAGTCGGGGGAATTTTAAGGTGCACCCTGAAAGCAAGCCAGCTACTCACTCTAGTCTTCGTGTTTTTTGCAAGTCTTCTGACATTAAGAATCTCGTATATCACCCTGACTCTTGCGGAGAAGCAAAGTATAAAATGTCTTGCAGTTGAAGTCACGTTTTTCTTTTTTTTCAGTGGCAAATGACGGAACATCTGAACGCTTCATGTTGGACATAGTTTGACTCCCCTTCGCTGGTTGTACCCTCTGAACCTTCTAAATACAACGCTAGTTCGTGGTTCAGAAAAACATCATTACATTTGCCGGGATGAAAATGAAATATATTTGAAACCAACCCGTCATATTCTGTGTATATATATATATATATGATATTGATATATGCACACATCCCCAGTTTCATTCCTAGTCCTTCAATTAGTCAATTAATAAAATCACAGTGCTCGCCTGTATGTTTTGTGTACACGCCAATTTTGGTTGCTGCAAATGGATTCAATTTCAAAAGATCCTCGGGTTCTTAAAATATCTCGGTGAAGAGCCTCCTTATTTGCTGGTGTTCAATCCAAAATAAAAGACTGTCAGTTTTAACCAACATGGATGAAATCCTCATTTTCTGACCACTTCATCCCCAATTTCAGGAAATGTTCTGAAATCTCTACCACAATCTGCCACAAAGTGCCGACCTGGCAGATGCATTCGCGGCCATGTTGTACAGCATCAGCAGGCCGCCGGCCGGAATCAACGGCACCAGCATGAAGAGCAAGGCCTTCTCCAAGCGCATGCGCCTGGCGGATCGTCGCACAGAGGGAGAATATTCGAATATTTTATAATGAATGAACCGATACTGTAGTTACTACACTGTAGTTGTATCAGTTGTGTATATAAATACTTAATATACATATGGTTACATCTGTATCATCTGTATATGCATATATATGTATGTATATGAATGTGTATATATGTAATATATAATAATATATATATATATGAAAAATGCATACGTATTCCCATTTCTTTAACGTTCACATCAGGCAAACAAACCCTGCCACAATACAGCAACTCACATCCTGGGACAGATCAATTCAAATCAAATGAAACCAAGTCGAAGTCAACTTAAGTAACCAAATGAATAAGGTTCGGTTTAAACGGTTTAACACGATCAAACAATATCCATCTCCATTGACAGCTTTCCATGAAAACTTTGGACGCCAGGTCCGAGGTACCAAGAAGTGTGGTCTCAACAGTATTTATGGCCCCACAATGATTGAGGGTTGTTGAGATGATGTCAACATTATACGTGTATTGTGTATATACTGTATGTATATATATATATGTATATATATACTGTAATATCTATATATATATTAATATATATTATATGTAGTATTATACATTAGCATTTATGCATGTGCATCATTTGTGTACATCACATGCATAGTTGTATATCATTGTTTATATGCAGTTGCCTAGGCGGACGCTCTGGAGCGGCTACTTCAAACCAAACATCTTGCGTCACTCCAACTCCAACGAGATGGCATCACAACCCTCCAGAGCCACCTTGAATGAGCTCTGGAATTTGGGACCTCAGCACCGGAAGTGCATAAAAAGGATATAAGTTGATACAGTATAAGTCGTAGGTGATCTTGTATAAAATGCGTATGTCCATACATGGGGTATACCTCAAAATATATCAAAATATCAATTTTAGACGATGAACATGATTTGATGATCCATTCAATTTGGGGGTACACTGACTTTGTCAAACCCAAATACGTCTCTTCCGAACAATGAATGCGGTTGAGATTTCGGTATGGGATGGTATGGGTGGCATGGGTTGAAATCCAGGGGAAAGCAAATGATCAATACAGGCCGTGGACCAAGTGAAATGGTTCAAACATGTTCAAACTGCATGAGTTCGTCTCAAATATTTGGGCATGCAGACCTTGACTCCTACCATCCAGGTCTTGACCCATCTGTTGCTTCATGCACAGGGTTCAAAAGTTCTTACCATTTGGTACCACAAGCCCAAACCCTCCCAGTTGACAGGCCGAGTCCCCTGACCTTCGGAGACGGTGGATCTGAGAGAGCAAAAACAAACCAAATCCAAAGGGAAAACGCGGGACGCGAACAGACTGATTGGACATTGTAGTCTACGCCTTGAAACTGGTGATGGAACAGCTCCGTTGCCGACGTCTCAATATGAGGGTTTCCTGCAGATTTCCCCCTGATCCAATTATTCTGGATAAATCATAATGATGAATAAGCTAAATGATGAATAAGCTAAAAACTTCGGCCACACGACTTCGGTCAGCTGTCCACGCGATTTGGGGATAGTGACCCCTACTAACAATCACTTCAGTCACGGTTTAAAGCTTCGCTACACCGCCACCTTCGCATTTGCGCCAGCCTGTTTTGGTCAGCGACAAGTACTCATCCAGGAAGTCTGTGCCGGGCGGAGATCCAAAGTTTCTGTGTCCAAAGCGTCCAACAATATTGATGGAGAAAAACAATATAACAATATATAACAAACATACGGTGATTGCTAATTGGTGCAGGGTGATATGGGTGGCGATGATGATGATGATGATGATGAGGAGGAGGAGGAGGATGAGGAGGAGGAGGAGGAAGATGAGGATGAGGATGAGGATGAGGATGATGAAAATGGCCAGCGTTGGCACCTTTTTTGAAGTGGTCAAGCAGCTGAGGATCCAACCCAAGGTGGTGGTGTCTTGCACTTCACCTCTGGTGGCACCCCATGCTGCGATGCTCACCCCCTGACATGGATTAAGGTGGGTAGATACTGCGATGTCCGGAGTCCAGCTCAAACACATTTTGTGTATACATTAAATATATACAAAAAGCTCTTATTAAATATATATATAATTAAATGTATACATATATAATTAAATGTATATTAAATATAAATTTCATATATAATGTATATGTTACTGTATACATTATTATTATTATTTATTATTATTATATCCATGAAATCTATTGAAATCTAACAACTCATCATGTTCTCAATCCTTCAAGCTGTCGAATGAGAGTCTTGGGCATTTTTTACCCGTGACCAAGGCGATAGGCTCCCTGTAGAACTGGGGTTGTTGCCGCCTGTAGCCACCCCGGGCCGCCGGGCCCGTTCCCTTTCCACCATCCTCTTTCCAACTTCTACCCAAAAGAACGTGGTAATCGTGGTATATGGTGAAGGAGACGGTATCCAAAGATCCACTGGTTTGGAAAATATTCCAAAGGTGTTCCTTAAGTTATTAAGGCACCCCAATGACTTGAACCCATCATATTCCCAGCCTTTCCATTGGTGCTGACTCTGCAGGAGACTCATTGGCTTCACATCCGCCTGAGGCACCGCAGGGGCACCCATTCGGCAGCAGGAGCTTTGAAAAAAAAAATGGGAGCGGGTTTTCCACATACGTTCTTGACTCGACAGAAATCGAATCTTGATTGACTTTCTGACTTTTATATCTAAAAATATCTATTATATGTTCCCTTTTAGTGGATGATTTGTGTTGACATTATATAATACTGTATGTACCGTACTGTGGTGCGCCGGCCATGATTGGCTATCACTCTGAAGCTATCTGAGAACAGTATTCATCAAGCTTGGGTAATTGCTCCAAAGATTACATGCTTGCTGCTACAGCAGGTATGATGAAACGTTTAGAAAACGGAAACAATATGGCTATGGATCAATACCTATTATAATACCATTTTTAGGGGGATGAACATCCATTTACCAGCTATTTTGATGTTCACCAGGGGTACTATTGGTTTTGACACACTGCCATATGGATTCCTGGGTCTTGCATTTTGCCCCAGGCCATCCCATACAGTACACCCATTCTGTCACTCTCCTGCTCTCCCGCCTTCAAACTCTCTGTCGCCAGTCGCAAGGCCGAGTATGGGCGAAGAGAAGTTCCTTCAGCTTTCCCATCTGTGTAGTGGGAGCACCAAAGAAACAGGAACAGGAGAGTGAATGATCATCAATTCCTAATTCTGAGGATTGTTCATAATCTACATAATAAATCATAATAATATACTCCACGGATCTCCACGGATCTCCACTATAATATCAAAGATTGAACATCACTGAATCATCCACGTAATACAAAACTTTACAAACATCTGTCTGCACGAGTCGCTTCCTGCAACAATTTCCGCGCAACAAATCAGCAAGATGCCAACGGCTTGCAGGTGGGACATGTTGAACGCTGGCAGATACCAACGAAGCGCGGCGCGCAGTGCAACAATTGCAGTTGCTTGGGCCGAATGGGATGTGGCCTCAACCGTAAAATCACTGAAGCGATGGTATGGCAAAGGGCACAAGACTACACTCCAAGAACTGCCGAGGCACGACTTCCTGTTCCTGTGTCCATCTGTGTCCTATTGTTTCTTTGATTTAGAACCTTGAATCACCGGTAATCACACATTCTTCAGCTCCAGGTCATCCGATTGAAGCATGCAGCTGCGAGCTGTCACGCCCTTTTTGTCGCGGAACGCGAAACAACACGTGCGTCTTCAGCTTGAGTCGCTTCCTGAAACAAGTCACAGGGACTGTCAGAGGATCCAACAATCAGAAGGGTCGGGGAATAGAGCCTGCAATTAGGGTACATGTTGTAACGTTGACAATGGGTGTGTGAGTGCATGTACTCGCGTAGTGCAATGAAAGGAAACATCTGCTGGTTTCCGACTGCTGTTCCCTGTTGGAATCGTGTTGAGAAACAAAGCCATCCACAGCTTGCACATAAATTTTCCCTTAGGTTTCAAGGTTTGCAATCTCAGCTTGGAACGAAGAAAATATTAACTTGGCTGCATCCGATATAGCAGTTCCAGAAAGAAATTTGTTTGCCTCTCGCCTCTTCAATGCTGAGACATATACCACTTGACAGAAACCTGTTTTTTTAATCAGCCACTTGATGTTGTATCAAAACACTCAGTATCACTCTGTCCAGCAATCGCTTCAGACCCCTAACATCCCTCAGCAAAGCTTTGCAGGTCCCCATGCCGGCATGAACCTTTGCAGAATTTGTGATGTAGCCTCTTCATTGCAGTTACATGGCCCACATCTGTCTACCTTGCTTAGCAGGCACTGCCGCATCTTGTATACGAGAATGTATGGGGACCCCTCAACTCCCCACATCTTGGTGCTGTTAAGCCAGCATTCATAACCACCCCAGTTTCAATCCATAGGGAGGGTACCCATTGTAATCAGAATTAGAAAATCATTTTGGGGATGCTGTAACCTCCCTACTTTTTATGGTCAGGGTCTTGTCTTATGCGGGGTATTTTGGTCGGCATCGGCCTCAAAGCTTTGCTCCAGAGAGGTAGGACTTGGCCTCTCCGGAGATGCCCATCAACGGACTGAAGATGGGAAAATACCACAGGAATCCATTGATTTCTACATGTCGATCATGAAAAATAGGTGGGTGTCAACCGTATGTTCGATCAATATGTTCCCGGGACCACCATTTCTGGGGATACAAGAGCCAGTATCACCGCATATTTCACCATCAACACTGAGAAGGTGAGGCAGCACTCATTTGTTGATTGAGTCTAGCGTTTCAACAACCTTCCCAATGATTTTAAGTTAGAAGTGAAACCCACCGGTTGATGTGACAATCACAAGTTTCCAACCAAAGTCCTGACGCAATTCACGCCAATCATAAACTTCAAGCATAAGCCCGACATGATGACCGCGCCCATTTTTTCCCTCTTGAGCATTTCGCGGGAGCTCACAGGGGACGTTTGGGAAATTGGAAGACGGACTTGAGAAGCCTCGCCCAGAATAGATCCATGTATATCCATGTCAATTCTGGGTGGTGTTTGTCCACCAGCGCCAATCAACATCGCAGCAAACATCACCAAACCAATCGCAGTGCAGCATGTACATGAGGTAAAATGCCACAGCAGCGCCTATCAGGGACGTTGCCAGCACAGCACGCAGCGAGCACGAAGCTATCATGCCTTTTGCGGCAATGGATTGCGTTGCTGAGAAGCATGATCCAGCAGCTACAGCTCCCAGTTTTCTTTGGCAACATGCAGCTAAGGAGCCCCCAACTACACCACCTGCGGTGAAACCAACCAGTGCCAAGGTAAGAAAGAAAGCTGGAATCAACAGTACACCGATTCCTGCTCCAGCCAGAATGGACGCAACCCAGCGAAGACCACAACGCCAGAAATTTGCCGAAAACATCATGAAATGTGGCCAACCCAGGCTGAATTGAGCGACCTCAAGTCGTGAGTTGAGAAGATGGAGGTGCAGCGAAATTGCACGTGTAAGGCCGAGGCTCGTCAACAGTAAACCCCCAAAGACGCTCTTCCATGTTATAAAACATCTGAGCATATCCGAGCAGTACACGTGCTATTTTAGCGACAGGTCACACCCATTCAAGAGGTTCAAAAGGTGGTTCAATCAGGCGGCCAAGGCCCAAGTCGCAACCCTGGGAAACACCCAATTGACTCTTCAGGGTCTTGTACACATGTTTTCATGTTTCTTGATAGTCACTATGCCACAAATCCACGCAGTGTTTGAGCCAAACAAAACGCACTGTCTTTCTTCATTCAGTATTATCCGGAAAACTCTATCCGTAATTCCCATGCTGCTATCAACAAATCCATGATATCCGCCAGACCAGAACGGTAGAATGAACATTCCTGCTGGATTTATGGATCTATGGTGGATCAGAATGGATTCCATGTTGATCCCATGTATCGATGATCCAATGTTTTCATCCATTGAATCCCATTCTGACATCAACAAATCACTATGACTCCATCTCCATATCAATCTATATCAACCCATATACATACATAAGATAACATCACATTACATTACATTGCGTTACATTACATGATATACATGACATGATCTTACATTTCCTTTACATTGCATTACATTACCTTACATTACATTACATTACCTTACATTACCTTACATTACATACATACATACATACATCTATATATATATACACATACAATTCCACATAAATCCACATAAACCTATATAAATCTATATAAATCTATATAAATCCTTTTAAATCCGCGGAAAGTCATTATCCATTGATCCACGCTTAAAAGCACCTTTAAAAAAACACATGTTTCAGCTCCGCCTCGTTGAGGGCGTCCACCTCTTCGGAGCGCGCCTTTTGCCGGGCATCGAAGTTCTGCAGGGTCCAGTCGCAAGCTGAGCGGCGGCGGCAGATTGAAGGGAATTTGAAGGTGACAGTTACCGCCCCCCCAAAAAAAAGTGGGTTGAGAAAGTTATAGATATTCCCTATAAAATTATAAAGACATCACTGGGCGGTACCAGTTTCAGAGCTGTGTCCGATGGCTACAATATAGAGGCATCATGGCTTATGTCTGGTCAATAATGTCTACAACGCAAGATAGGGACAGTAGTACATGTGTATCTAATACGGAGACAGAACAGCTTATGATGCTGGTTGCACTTGGTTGCAGTTGGTGCTGTAATGGTTTCGATTGTGGTTGGTTGTAATTCGTGCAAAAAACAAAAAGCACGATTTGGAGTGACTTGCAATGCTAGAAAACATTGATGTAAAAAGGATGACCATCATTTGCTGACCGGAAATAATTGACAAATCTTAGAACTTGGTGAACTTGGTGAACTTGGTGAACTTTGGATATGTTTTGGACATATTTTGGACATATTTGTATCTTTAGAACTCTTCCAAGTTTGTGTGTCGATTCTCAGTCTAACGTGGCCATGGAACATCACCATCGGGTTTTCGCTTTCCAACATGCCATGTTTCGCTGTGCAGAATCCAAAACAACCTGGGTTACCATCGCCCGCAACATAAAGCCGGCCAAATAATAGGTGGTTGGAAGATTTTACTAAAAATCATAGCATGTTCAGGGTCTATGTTAGTTTCCTGTTCATTTTGGTCTCGTGCAAGGCCAATCCCCAACCCTTCGGGGCCGGCTTTCGTGCAAGGCCATCGCCGTGCTTTCCAGGTCCTGGAGGTCCTCCTTTGCACCTGGCGCCAGGTTCTGTTGGAAGTGGATTCAAAGCCTGCATGGTAATGGTACTGGTGATGGTAATGTAATGGTGATGGTAATGGCATGTAATGTGATGAAATGTAAATGTAATGTAAATGTAATGTAAATGTAATGTAAATGTAATGTAAATGTAATGTAAATGTAATGTAAATGTAATGTAAATGTATGTATATACATAACGCCTATATGTATATGCATAGAGATAATGTGTACGTATACGTATATATACTGTATGTAATGTATCTATGTATATATAAATTTGTGCAGTATTTGGAAGGTACGGCCCTGACTTATGTTTGGAATTGGACATATCAAATCTGAATCTTCACAAAGAAAAGGTGTTTTGCAAATTGGCATGGTGGTCCAAAGAAATAATCACATTTCCAGCAGCCAAGATCAACGTGTAGGGTGGCCTGACAACGGCTGCTACCTCCAAGTATTTGCTGGACATGATCATGATGCAACCCTTCAAGAATTAGAAGTTTCAGCACACAATGGTTACATAGTATGACATACACCTGACATGCGGATACATGGCCCAAAAAGAATGATCATGACATCCCACACCAAGTCTAACCTACCTCCCTGATCCATCTGTCACCAACAGATTCTTAACTTCAGCTGACCCAATCATGACTACTCTTGGATACTGAGCGCAACAGAGTTCATCATATTCAGTGGCCATGATACATCTATCGATCTATCTATCTATAGATCGATCGATCTATCTATCCATCTATCTATCGATCTGTCTATCGAACAATCTATCTATCTATCTATCTATCTATCTATCTAATCTATCTATCTATCTATCTATCTATCTACCTACCTACCTACCTAATCTATCTATCTATCTATCTATCTATCTATC